CCTCCTCTCCAGGACCCCTGAATAGACCTTACCAGGGAGGCTTAAGAGTGTGACCCCACTGTAATTGGAGCACACCCTCCGGTCCCCCTTTTTAAACAGGGGTCCACCACCCCAGTCTGCCAACCCAGGGGGACTGCCCTCGATGTCCATGCGATATTGCAGAGTCGCGTAAGCCAACACAACCCTACAACATCCAGAGCCTTGAGGAACTCTGGGCGGATCTCATCCACCCCCGGGGCCCTGCCACCGAGGAGGTTTTTGACCACCTCAGTGACCTCATCCCCAGAGATTGGAGAGCCCAACCCAAAGTCCCCAGGCTCAGCTWCCTCAACCTTTCCCATAAAAATACATTTAAAAAAGGTTTCGACTGTTCCCGATTAGCTTAAACTGATTCCGGTTCCAAACAAACAGGAACGCTCAGGAGCCAATTAGGCGTCGCTAATGAGTCCAATTAGAGTCAAGGAGAGTTCAAACAGGCAGAAAATTACATTCACTTCATGTGACCTAATTAGACACGAAGACTCGTCTCACCAGCTGCCAAGACCTGCTTCTGTTTCCGACCTCCTCCAATCAAATCTGAGCTGTTTTAAAGGAATTTTATTTATTTTTATTCCACTTGTAGCTTATTTTTTATTTTAAAATCTGTGTTTCTGTGCTCCCTGTTGATTCTTTTCTTTATTATAGCCGTCTGAAACATCTACACTGAAAACAGTTCCCTTCACGAAATGAAATAATCTACAGAGTGGAAATGGTTGGAAAAATATGAAATGTGATTTTGTTTTTGTTTTGTTTTGTTTTTTGTTTTGTTTTTTGTTTTGTTTTAGCCAGATCTGGATAAGTCTTGAAAAACTAAAATGAAGTGTAGTTTGTACATAATTTTACAAAGAGAACAAAGTTTTAGTGAATCCTTTAATTAGTATAGAAGACGATTCAGGCAACAGTGACAAACATAAAAACATTTTGTCAAAATTATGAGATTAAAATCAGAATTCTCAGATTAGGTCAGAATCCTCAGATTAAAATCAGAATTCTGCAAATTGAGTCAGAATTCTGAGAATAGTCAGAATTATCAGATTAAAAATTAAAATCAGAAATCTCAGATTAAGAAAGAATTCTCAGATTAAAATAAGAATTCTGAGATTAAGTTTGAATTCTTAGACTAAGTCAGAATTCTCAGATTAAAAAATAATTCTCAGATCAAGTCAGAATTCTCAGATTAAAATCAGAAATCTGAGAATAAAGTCAGAATTATCAGATTAAAAATTAAAATCAGAAATCTCAGATTAAGACAGAATTCTCAGATTAAAAAAATAATTCTCAGATTAGGTCAGAATTCTCAGATTAAAACCAGAATTCTGAGAATAAAGTCAAAATTATCAGATCAAAAATTAAAATCAGAAATCTCAGATTAAGACAGAATTCTGAAATCAGAATTCTCAGATTAAGTCAGAATTCTAGGATTAAAGTCAGAATTTTTTTCACCATCACTCTAATCCTCTTCCAGAGAAAATGTGACATTTTGTTTTTCATCTTTATCCTCTCCRTGTCGTTATTTTGAGCCTAAAGTTTGTAGTAATATTTTTAATTGATGAAAGACAAAACAAACGTTGTGAAAAGTAAAATAAAGGGTTGATAATCTGAGTCTGGATTAAACACAAACTGTAAATGAGCACATTTAAAGAGTTTATTGTGTCAACACGCTCTGGAAATCCTCTCACACTTTCTCTCCTATCGAACACGTTTTAAATCATAATCTCAGATTTTTTCCACGCAGGGAAGCGTGTTTGTGTCGGAGCAGACCGGTCAGTTGTGACATATGGTTTTTGACAGAGGGCCCGGCCCAGACCCGGCCCAGCCGTCGGTCCTGGAACAAGCCAATCAGGTTTTAAAAAAACAAGAGTCACGTCAGAGCCTGAGCAGCTGGTGAACTGCACCAATCTGTAGATGGGATTATCTGCCCAAATGCACAGCCAACCAGTCAATCTCAAAATGACCAGACAGCCTCAGTTTGTGACCCAGTACCGGCGCCGGGCCTCTGAGACATTAATCATTCAGAACCTGCTTCTACAGCCAAGCTGGAGTCTGAGGACCTGACCCCATCTAAACCCTTGTGTTGCCTCTAATCTGAAGAAATCGTTCAATTTATTGATTTAACTGTTTATATAATCTGTTTCTCATAAACATTATTTATCATCCGATCCAAATTATTTAGAGATCATCTCTGCTAATATTCAGGAGCTCAGTAATCGTCCCACCATCTTGCTCCATATTGTCTGAAACCCATAATCCCCTGATAAAATCCCCCAGGTTAGGGGCCTCACTTACACTTCTGTTGCCCGAGGCTAATCTCAGATTATATCCCCTCACAGGAGCTGAAACAGGAGCTCACTGAGGATTATTTACACCACTAATTTAAAACAGAAAGCATCCCGGGTGCCTTTTATTTCRTAACCACTGACACGGTTTAAGGCAGAAACAAACTGTGGAAAAAGTTAGATTTGAAAAATTCTCGGAAGCCTCCATAATCTGAGGGGATTTTAGAGACAACCATCCGTCCTGCAGCAGTGAGAGACATGCCGTGTTGGAGAAAAGATTATCTAGATTTTGGTGTAGAGTTGTCAGAGATGCGGGAGTAAGAAGATTTTAAAAATATAAAAATGATCGGGGTTTAAGAAAATATCGATACACTGAAATATCGCGATATTTCATTTCCTGAAACTATTGCTTTTTTAAAATGAAGACTTAATGCAAATGCAGTTCTCACTAACTGCGTTTCCATTGACCATGAAAATGCGCAAATTAGAATTTCGAAAATAAATTTGCTCAATAGAAACACGTCAATTTCGAAAAAAAAATTATGTTTTTCGACAATTTTTTTGCGTTATATATGAGGTGGTATTTTGGTCATATTGAACGTGGTGTTTTTTGCAA